CGTGGTTGGAACTCTTGTTGTAAGAGTTGTTGCCGTGGTTGGAACTCGTGTTGTAGGAGTTGCTGCCGTGGTTGGAACACTTGTTGTAGGAGTTGCTGCCGTGGTTGGGACCCTTGTTGTAGGAGTTGTTGCCGTGGTTGGAACTCTTGTTGTAGGAGTTGTTGCCGTGGTTGGAACTCTTGTTGTAGGAGTTGTTGCTGTGGTTGGCACTACGGTTGTAACAGTTGTTGCCGTGGTTGGAACTCTTGTTGTAGGAGTTGTTGCCGTGGTTGGAACTCCCGTTGTAACAGTTGTTGCCGTTGTAACAGTTGTTGCCGTGGTTGGAACTCCCGTTGTAACAGTCTCAGGCCGATTAATGCTTGGCTCTTGCTTGGGTCTGCCCACGCTTGACTTATATCTCCGCGCGAGTTGCGCACGCGATTAAACATATATAGCGTGTTGCTATTTTAGTGTGTTTTAGTGTTCGAATGAAACTGAAATTGAATAAATATGAGCTGTTGGATCATGTTAGATTATAGCAACCAGCAGGGATAGTAAATTATTAGTTTTTCTTGTACAATTGGCCGTTGTATAGTATAATATATCATATGCGATATGCGGCGACCTTTGAACTTTAATATATAAAGCTCGCTATTGCGGGTTTTTATGTCTGAATTATTCAAGATTGATTTGTGTTTTCTCTTTAGTTTCCCACGCACAGAAAAATATTTGAAATACAAATAAGTACCCAGCATATGGCTGGTTCAAACTTTTTTGGGGTGGTGATGTTTTACTCCTCGTTTTAGTGTGACATATTTCTCTTAAAACTCTTAAGGGCGCAATATAAAATGTTGTTGTTGAAATATAATATCCTTTCATACAAAGGCTCAGACTTGTGTCGAATATTCCGTTCAATATAGAAACGAGCATATGTACTTATCATATTGTACTTCTGTGCATATTATTCTCTCTGTTACTCGCATATTCTTTGAATGCACCACGTATTAGTTGCAGTTTGTTAGTCATTGTCTGTGTATTTGTATTTCATAATATTTTGTTTCACGGCAGGGGCCTATAATGATTATGGCGTGCGCGAATTCATCACGCGAAAAACGCGTTGGACTTGCCGACACATAAGACAACGTTAATGTGGGTCGTTAATACGTAGATTTTGTCCAGAGTACAGCCAACTTTGGTCCCACAATTAGAATTGTAAGCATTGTAATCTGGAACGATCATTTTATTGCAAATCATATTGACATTGTGCGAGACATTGTTGTATTCATAGCAATATTTTCATATCTGTGGCAAAATCTTCAAGATTCTAATTGCAGCAATGAAGTATAAGAGTACAAGGTTCCGTGATAATATTTTTGTACATATCTATGAACGTTTAGTGTGTCGGCAAGCCGTATTTTAAAACAGTAAGTTAATTTCCATTATCACCGCTTATATCCTGTCACGTGACCGGTTTCCATGGAAACCAAATAGTTGAAAAATATCGGCAGTTGATTTCCAACATCTCACCCAAAAATGAGAGTCATAGTTTGCTTTGTTAATTTTTAATTAATTTTTAAAGATTTTTCCTATTTCCCCACTCCTTACAAAATTGGAGCCATGCATTAATGCACCTGAGCAGTTGTTGCCGTGGTTGGAACTCGTGTTGTAGGAGTTGTTGCTGTGGTTGGCACTCCGGTTGTAACAGTTGTTGCCGTGGTTGGAACTCTTGTTGTAGGAGTTGTTGCCGTGGTTGGCACTACCGTTGTAACAGTTGTTGCCGTGGTTGGCTCTCCGGTGGTAACAGTTGTTGCCGTGGTTGGCACTCCGGTGGTAACAGTTGTTGCAGTTGTTGGAACTCTTGTTTTAGGAGTTGTTGCAGTGGTTGGCACTACGGTTGTAACAATTGTTGCCGTCGTTGGCACTACGGTTGTAACAGTTGTTGCCGTCGTTGGAACTATTGTTGTAGGAGTTGTTGCCGTGGTTGGAACTCCTGTTGTAACACTTGTGGCCGTGGTTGGAACTCCCGTTGTAACAGTTGTTGCCGTGGTTGTAACTCCCGTTGTAACAGTAGTTGCCGTGGTTGGAACTCCCG